TTCCTCCTCTCCTGTGTCTTTTTTGCAGTTTTTGAAGCCATTTTAACAAAAGCTTTACCCCAGAAGTGGTCCAGTAACATCACCTAAGTTTTTACAAGTGTTTATATCGAATTGGGCTAAGTTAGGCTGATGATATGATCAAAAACTTAAATAACACCAAGGAGTAGGCAACCTCCGGAGTGGCATGCAGCTCTTTAGCCCCTCTCCAGTGGCCTCCTGTGGCTTTGATAAAAATGAATGATATGATATAAGGCTCAAATATGTCTGTTACATGTAGCTTATGTTTATTGGGGTCCAAAAATGGCTCTTTTGATTGTAAAAGTTGCTGACCCCTGTAATAATTGGACACTGTGATAAGATTATTTTCTCAGCTACTGTTTCAAAGACCAGGATTGAACTTTGAACCTCATCTTTTTATTAAAACAAGGATGAGAAGCCTTTAAAATGCTCAGAAACAAAGAAAATTGTTCCCACAATATGTTGCAATGTCACTGTTCTTAGTTGTCAAGACGACAACATTTATTTGCCATTACCCTGACTCATTAGTAGTTACATCTGTCAGAACTAGTCTATGTGGTGCAGCTCACTTAAATTCAGCGCTAATCTTAGTTTAGTAGTTGCATTGTAACAGTGCAAGTTTGAACGTAGCAACATCTGGTGCAGATGCAGCAGCTGTTCATCAAGAGGCTATATTGGCACATGGTAGCGTTTGTGTGTCGCATTTGTGTGTGCGTGTCCGTCAGCAGTGTTTCAGTGCCCGTAGCAGTGTAAAAGAAGCCAGTAAATTGCCGCTCTGTTGGTCAGTCTTTCTTTCGTCTAATCCGCATGAATTGACACAAAGGCAGAACTTCCTCCCCTTCGTTCTCCAGCTCCCTGACTTTCTGTCTCCATCTCTTCATCTTCTAATTGTTTTTTCCCTCTCCCTCTCCATCTCTGCCTCGTTCAAACACAGTCACTGTATCAGAGCGTTAGCTTCTCCCTCCTCCTCCTCTCCGCCCAGCATTAGCACCCATTCACACACTGTTTCCTTCTCCAGAGCAGGGTGCAAAACGAGATCACCCTAGGAACTGCACAACAGATTGCATGTGGCATTATCATTCTGTTTAAGTCACCACACTTAGTGCACACACATGCTTGTATTTCTCCCAATGTGAGGACATCTCATTGATTATAACGCAATACCGTGTCCTCACTCTGAAGGTCAGAAACTGGTTCAGTACGCACACACATTCACACACACCTTGGTCCACACATGTCGATTCATTTCACTTCACACCAATCAGTGCTGTCGGTGTTAGAGCCAAGAGGCAACACAATCTCCAACCAGCCAGAAAGAAAAAGAGTGGAGATGAAATCTGCTTCTCCTCTTTACCTCTGGGCTCTTCAGGGTTTCACCACTTGCTTGTTTGAGTATTTTGCTAAGAGAGAGGTGCAGGAATAGACTACCAATAGTATTGGAATAATATGTTAAATTGCTTTGTGTGTGTGTGTATATTTTTTTAGTATGGGCATAAATGTTTGCAGGGTCTAAATGTTTCACCCACTGAGCACCAAATGGCAGTAAATCTTTATCTGATCGACACATCAGTAAGGAATAGTGTCACACAGGCTGTAACCTTTACAGACAGTAACATTTGAAGCTGTTAGCTATGCAGTATTTGGTCTTCCCCCTGACTCTTATGTATACTTATCTGCCAGCCACCAGAAGTCTCAAGTCAATCAGTTCAAAGCATCAAATATGCTTCTGGTTGACTGCCTTTTACACCACTTTAGCATCCAAAGCTTGACATACTTGACCCTATAAATCCTCATTGGAAAGCACTGCATTCAGAGGGGACCAACCTACATGGTAGAATAGAGTATGAGCATAAATATTGTAATACTGTACCCCTTGTATTTGTACTATATTAGTTTATTTACTTTATTTAGTTAGATTTAATTATTTATTAGTTATAATTATTTTAATAAGACTTTATTTAATATGTATTCAGTATAACTATATTTTGTTGGATCTAGCCCTCAAAGCAGTTAGAACAACACATTTTTTGTTGGTCTGCTTGTTGTTTATTTTGTCTTGGCTTAGCTTGGTCGATTTGACATGGTTAGTTTGGATTGGTTTTGTAATGTTTAGCTTGATTGGTTTGGTTAGGCTAGAATGGTTTGGCTTGGTTTGTTTGTTGGATTTAGATTCAACTAGGTTACTTTGGTTTGGTTTGTTAGTTTAAGTTTGGTTTGGTTTTGGAGCTTTGTTTAGTTTTGATCTGGTAGTTTACTTGGATTTGGTTTTCATTTGGTAGTTTGGTTTGATTTGGCTTGTTGGTACGTTTTTAATGGCTAGTTTGTTTGGTTTCAGGTCTTTCAGTTTTCATTAATTCGTTGTTTCCATTGTTTTGTTTCTCACTGCTCCATGACACGGAGATGTGTAGCTAGCCTGGAACAGAGATACATATGTGGGTATTTGTTATGTAGGTATGAAATGATTCTTTGTTAAATAAGATTAGAGTGATGGCAGCTGCAGCTGTTGCAGTGTTTCTTTCTCTCCTGATAATATGTGTGTAATGTGTATACACAGGAGTACATCCTTTATCTCTCCTTCTTTCTCTGGCTACACACACAAATACACATAAATATACCAAAACAGTGGCAGGTTGTGTATTGTCTAGCTGCCAGTGTGTATGACGCCTGCTGTGTCACAACAGCATATAATTACTCACTCAAGTGGTTTATACACACCACTAGATCTCTGAGATGCAGCGTATGTACACACACACATCCTGAGGAAAGGTAAGTGTCCTGATGTGAAACTGCCTCAGGTCCATATAGCAGAGTGACATCTCATTTGCATTCATTTACTCCTGTTTTGGCTCATTTAGTGACACAAACAAACTGCTTTTTTCAGACAGGCCGAGGGTGCATTTGTTTCACAATGTGGAGGAAAACTCTCAGCAATGGACGTCTTGTCTCTGTGCAACAAACTGATGGCAAAACACAGTGTTAGCACTTATTCCAGAGAACAAAAGGATACATCACACTCACAAAAAATACATTGAAATGCCTTTTTTAATGACAGTCAGCAGTCTGGCAGAGAGACATTGTTCCAGTGCCTGGCTTCCATCAGCATTTACACTACTTTTTTGGGGCCGAGAATGCTTCTTTTGTTCTTGCTGTCTACCTGTCTAACATACTTTATGAAGTTCTAAAACAATGGAAAGGTGTTGTTTCTTCGTTCAGCATTTATGCTGTTTTACAATTTTTTTCATGGAGAGACAAACTTTCTAAGTGTCTTTGTTTGAGTTTATGCGGTGCATCCATTTTCTATGACTGGCATTGTTCACAGCTCTATCACTGACTCACACCACATAAAAGGGTGGATTAATGGGGTTCTCGATCAATACCAGTCAGTCAGTCTATTTACTGACTCAGGTGGTGATGTTCTGGCTTTATGTTAAGACAGATTTATTTGTGCAGCTTAACAGTCTCAGAGGGCCTTACAGGGCCACATTAGACAAGAAACACAAACAACTGCCTAAGTGGACAACAAAATAACCCCCCCCCCTAAAAAAAAAAAAAACCCTAAAGGGAAAAATCTGAGAAAACCTTAAATAGGGATTACATGAGACTAAACCTCTTACAGGGTTAAATAGCAGCAATGAACAAATGACAGAGGTAGTGGATTACTGATACAATTAGACGCTGTAAGATAGCATGAATATAAGTTCAAAGAAATATTAGTCTCAGAGGTAGAAAGGGGAATGAAACCGCAGCACAACAGCCTTCAGGATGGCAAAGATCTGGGACTGTGGTCTCTGCTTTTCTCTGTAGAGAATTTTGTCTTTTTTCTGATGTTTTTATATCTAGACATTTACCTCGGTAGATTATTTTGTGCCCTTCTTGCAATCAGAATATAGAGGCATCCTATTGTACATATGGAGTCAACTGTCAACAACTGTTTGTAAATTTAATCTCAGCACAGATCAACTTTTATAGACTGCTGAGTTTTATGGGAGTCATTGAAACCACTATGTGTAGGATTTGAAAAAAAGTACTATTTGCAGATTAAATCGAGAATGACACTGTGGTCAACAGCCATGCATGCTGCCACGATTGTGGAATTACTTATGCCTCCTGAATCAATTCAAACATCATAACCACACATAAATTGTGCTAGGGTTGCAATAGTATATGGTGTATTCCACAGTTATTATTATTATCATCAGTTACAATGATGAAATAAATGAAGACAGAATTGTTTTTTAACGCTTTATTATAATTTAACAAAATATGATGTCCTATTTATTTATTTTTTTTTGATAGCACTAATGCATAGGGCTGGGAATCGAGAAATCTTTCCAAATTGTCTGATCTATCACAATCGAATGCCACTGAGCTTATTGATTCCGATAATGTCTCATGTGTCAGCGCTGCTGGAAACAAGAGGGAGTCATGGCGGTCCAAAGCATGGCTTCATTTCATGATACAGTCAAATTCAGTATTATTATTAAGCAAATACACACTGTATGATACCGCTGCAACCCTTTAAGGTACCACTAGTAGCGCAATGGAGCAGTGTTCATGCATGCGAGCACACGGTTGACACAATACATATTCCTGCCATTGGTTTCACGCTATTCTACTTGCCTACAGGTGGCAGTAATGCACCAAAAAACACAGAAATGCACAAGCAAAGGCAGGGAAGAAGAAGCTAGTAAACAATGCAAGACTTTCATAACAAAACTAATGTTGCAAATGTTTTATGAGGATTGAAATGCATTCAGCACGCTCAAGGATACACACAATGTGTTTTGGTGAGGAAAACTGAATCTTAACATCAATTTTGTTTGTTTATAAGAATCCACAATGGATTGATTTGAGTCAGTTGATTTCCTATCTACACTGCTGTGCCTACTGCTAAAGTTTACCAGGTGCATAAATGTCTACAAAGTGAATCTTTATTACACAAATCAAGAGCCATAAAAGCAGCTTATTTTCTGTGTTTTCAGGTATTTACCAGTTCAGAGTTCCTGAGTCGTCCAAATCCGGCACTCCAGTCGGGAGAATTAAAGCCACCGACAGAGACATTGGGAAGAACGCTGAGATGTATTTCACCATCGTCAGCGGGGACGGCATGGACATGTTTGACATCTCCACTGACAGAGACACCCAGGAGGGAGTCATCACTGTCAGCAAGGTGAGGGGGAGAGAGACTAAACTGTGGGCTCAGAGTACTAATCACATTCATAAACTATTTGTGTAGCACTAATGTGAAAGCCAGATTAATTAGGACAACACAATAAAAAAAGGTTAAAGATGCAAGTAAAATAAATAGCAGCAGAGTAAATTCTAGCTGCTGTACAGAATGAAAAGTCAAACTGCATCTGTTGTAAATAATGTGAAATCTGTTGCTTTCCCGTTCAAATGAGGTTGGCTTTTAATTATCTTGATATTTTTCTCACGGCATTGGTTAAATCAAATTAATTCTAAAGCAGTGATTCAGCAGATCCCACACTCTCAACTCATAGGGACCCTGCCCACGTAGTCTGTTTTACACGTACTGTTAAATATGCAAAGCCTGGGCATGCTTGACAGATGAAAGAAACCAAATTAAACTTATTCATCTTTACCTTCGCAACCCCCCAGTCCTAGCCTCTGCAGCAGGCACTAACACACAGGACTGAAGCTTTTTATGCTGCTGGATCTTTAGAAATGAATCACACCATCCTCCACAGAGTGTTTACTGATGTACAATCACAATTGATTTTTAGAAATTCTTTTGTTCCTCTTGCTGACACAACCTAAGAAAGTCTGCAAGCTTCAACAAAGAGGTAATGATATTTTGTCAGCAGGATATGAGATATCCAGAATTCCTTCAAGGCGGTGCGTGTAGAGTTGTTCAAGTAAATCTGATGCTTTGTTCTTGTTTGAAACAACAAGCGTGCGGTGTTGTCACAGCTGATGTCAACGAACAGACTTTATCAACATTATTTGCACTTTTGGAAAACTATTGTCATTTGTCATCAGATTGAGTCTGTCAGCTGCTTATATCAAATTTATATTACTGGTAGAATTTCCTCTGGAACAGAATGTGCAGTTGTTCTCTTCCTTATCATTCAGACAGTCAGTAGCCCTGATACAGCAAGACAATAAAACAGATGTGCTCTTAAACTCCATAAATCTGCTTGTGATGCTCAATTTCTCAGCTGTCAGATTAAATTATATGTTGAAACTTTATGCAAATGTGTTCTGCAAGCCCACTATGTACAGCAAATAAACTATTTGTCTTTTGGCTTGTTGGACAAGTTTTACTGAATAGATTTTAGTCTAATTCCTTATTTAAAAGGTTTTCTCACAATACTACAAACATTCTTGTATCTATAATTGTACTGTATATCACATAAACCAGGTCCAAAATCTGTGCCCCTTTTAACGGTTTAATCTGTAATATTTCTGCATTAAACTGTCTACAAACTCTAGAGCTATGTTCTTATGTAGTTGAGTTGTGACTTCATTATCCCAAATTTCCAACAATGTTTCAAACTCAGAAAAATCTGTTTTCACTGATCCTCCTTTGGCATGTGCACGTTGATGTTTTCTCCCCGCCAGAGCCTGCCATATACATTGATGTTTATCCACCTGAAGCCACATGTTTACCATCCACGTTAAGATCTTGGGCTTTTTAACCTAAATTGGACCGATGAAGGTTTTAGTCAATCCAGAACGTCGGATCTAAGTAAGAAATAACGACGCAAACATTAAGCAGCACTCAGCATTCTTTCTGTCCAACAGCGTGGGAAAAAAGCAGTGATTTTTAAGTGGAACTGCTTATTCAGTTTTTTAGCAGTTTAATCAGCAGTCTGGTATGTTTGGAGAGAGAACCCTGTGGATAACTGGCTCCCGAAAACCTCCTGAACCATGAACACTGAAGAATCCTGACGCAATGGGGGAGACGGCAATGGTGGTGAAGACAACAGCTCCCATGGTCCCACGCTACTTTATGATGTCATCAAACATCTTTTGTTTGTTTTTATGCTAGAGACCCCCTGGCAGTAGAAATTACATATTGTACGTTTGAAGGAGAAGGAATATTGGACTAACACAAACACAGCAACAAATGAATGCAAATGTTGCTCTGTCTCTACTGGCCACCATGCACATCTTTTTTGCTGACCTGCTAAACTGTATATTTATATGGCTTATTTTTGTATTCATAATTATTCTCAGCAGGACACATTTTCTGGTACCACTGTTTGTGCTGTATATATAATACATGTAATTGCTGGCTCCAGTGTAAATTTAACTTTGCCAAGCAGCATTAATGTTGATTGTTTTGTTTTTTTTGGTCTCTTTGCCTCTGCAGCCTTTGGATTATGAGAAGAAGCAGTCTTACACAGTAGAGATCCAGGTCCAGAACACCCAGCTGGACCCCCGCTTCATGTCTGCAGGCTCCAAAGACATGGCCACGGTCCGGATTGGCGTAGAAGATGTGGACGAGCCGCCACTGTTCGACAAAGCCAGCTACCTGATGGAGGTTAAAGAGGACGCAGCAGTGGGCGTGGCCGTGGGCTCAGTCAGTGCCATGGACCCTGATGGAGCTCGCAGCATAGTCAAGTAAGTTTTTTTTTTTTTTTTATTAACGTAACAATAGGTTAACTTATAAGGCCAGAAAGCTAAACAATAACGTCTCAATGTAGTATTAGGAGGCAATTTTGTAGCTACAGTTCCAGTGTTTAAGTTGTCCAAGTGAGCAAGGTTTTAGCAAACTGTGTAAAATCCAGCTTTAATTTCCAGTTACAGACAGCTTCCATCAGCTACATTTTGTGCTTTCCTTTTTCTGGTGGATTGACACAGCCCATATAATATTTAGATTACGACCAATGACCAGCCAGTAGTGAGATGGGACATGTTTGTTGGGGTATGTTTAAATTTCTTTTCCAATTTTGCAAAGATATATCAGGGCTCAATAGGTCAAAGCTGTGGTATCAACTTTTTTCTTTATCTACTATAGGCTAGGATAAACTTTAAGTGTAGAAATCCCCTGCCAGTGTCCTACTGACATCAGGATTTAGATAAATCTGGACAAATAAGGTGAACCCAATGTGTGACAGCCTTTTTAGTTGCAGTCCCACTTTGTGATCCTGATGCATTTTTCAGTAAACTTGCTGCTTTAAAATGGAGCTGACAATGAATTGCATTTGTTTCCCAGATGGGCATTGTTTTGCCTTTAGCCAATCAATTATATTTGCATAAATCAGTGACATCACAGCTTTTTCATAGGCAGATGGTCACACTGACGCAAGACACAAGAGCCACAACAACCACAACCTGCATTAGCTTTCTAATTAATGTCTCCTTCATTTTAACAAAAGGACACATGTTGTCCTGCAGCTTAGCTTGCTGAGTGAGCCACCAGTAAAATGCCCTGCTAACATCAGTTTGCAAAACACCAGAGGCCCTATCTAAAGCCAGTGTGGCGGTTCAACATGGCGGACTCCAAAGAAGATAAACAGGGCTCATTCTAAAGGCAGTGGTTGTCAAACCTTTTCTGTCATGCCTCCTGCTTCAGAAGCCAAAAAAAGTTTATGCCCCGTCCCCACAGTTTTTACTAATGATTTATAATCATAGGGGAACCAAAACTAATTAAGAAGGATCCAAGTTGAGTTTTAGCGAAAAAAAGGTCAGCACATTGGTATCAGCGAACTGTTTGTTGGTAAGCTCTTCTTTCTTTTTTTACATCATGTTTTATCAACCCATAACTACTTCCACATTTTTCAATGCAGAAACTTAATTCAAACGTCAAAATGTACAGCTCAATTAGGACATGTTTGTTTATGTTCAGATTTTGGATAACTTTCATAATTTCGAAATATTCCATTCAAGTCTTAATTACTCATTCATACTTTCAGCTAGAAACTCCACTTAGCTACCTTTTTTCCAACTTTTCAAACTTTTTTTGAAAAAAATTATAATGGAAATCAATTAGAAAACCCTTCAAACCCACTCATCTTCAAACTCAAATCTTTAAAACATTCATGACAAGCAGGACTTTCTGGCATTATTTCAACTTTTTTATACCTTTCAGACTTTTGACACAATCTCTGTTCAAAATTCATGAAAATGCCTAGAATGTTCAGCGCTAGAGTGGGGGACATCATCACTAGAGACGATTTGAAGTCGTCTAAACATTGTGTCTTAAAGTTGCTCTCAGAGCCACAATCTTTCTCTACATTCATAGCGCAGGAGCGCTGACCAACTGTCTCAGTTACTCCCATTATAAAAAGGAGAATAAATTTCAGGAGTGAAGCAGAAGCAGCCACTTCTTCCGACAGCTAGTGTGGTCACATTTTTGCCAGTGATTCAGTATATCGATAGTTCTTTAACACACATTTAAATCTCCCACCTTTTATAGATTATTAATATTATTTAACTTTTAGAGCCAGCAATTCAGCCTGGCGTAGGCTGTTCAGCAGTCCGCATTCACACCTGCAATTTCTGCAGAAATGGCCTTCTCTGGTGTTTATTATAATATTATTATTTTCCCTACATAAATCTGGTTAAATAAAAAAAAATATGGAGTTGAACATACAGTATATTCATTTAACCACGCTATATTTTTCCGCTGGTCTTTCATTGATTCTTATTTTCAGGTAATTATACATGAATGAGAACATACCTATGAATATTATATTCCATTTATGATGGTAGATCCTCCTAAATGTTACACACTGGAACCTTTAAAGCAATATTCCTTATATCATATATGCAGTGCAGGGCTGTTATATATGAAACTTTCACTTCCTGTTACTCTATTTTAGAAATCTCAGCAAAAACTACATTGAAGTTGGATGAAGTTTGACTTCAAATGGACCTTGACTCTCTAAAGGCTTGTGAGGAGTTCTGATAAGAGTCTGAAAAGGGGAAACAGAGGGAAATATGGAGCAGGTTAAAAGATAGGTGGTACAGTGATCACTGTTAAGATAATAAACCAAGTGTGTGTGGACTGGACTGTGTGTGAAAACTGCCGAGCACATACAGTACACAACAGAAACCTGCACCTACAGGCTATATTTAAACCCCATTGCCTCACTGCTGTACGTCCATTATTGATGCTTGGCATTAGGATAGTTTGAGCTCTGCTCCTCTCCTGTTAGTAACTGCCCATTGCTCAAACAGCATCAATACATCCTGGGAATTTTCTGATGTTTACAAAATAAAATGCCTAAAGTCCTGTGTAATTTGCTCTGCTACGGCGGGTATTGATCAGTAGGTAAGACTGTTTAGATAAGTTGAAACTTTCCTAAACTTGGAGGGCAATTTGAGTCTCTACCAAAAAGCAAGGAATAGGATACAGCAAATGATTTTATATGAATTATAGAAAATAGTGCAATGTAAAGGCAGAGAGCTGTAGGATGAGCTAAAAAGAAATAATCACAATGGATGGATGGATGACAGCAGTGTGTGTGTTAAACTGACACAGTTGGAGGCTGGAACTGAGCCCGTATTTCTCTACATTTAAAGCAGGCGAACTGATGAGGAACATATTCCAATTAAAACAAGCATGGAACCATGGAGTGCTCTTAAAATTATGTGTCACGAGGGGGCACACACACAATTCCAATTATTCCTGTGTTTGTGCCTTTGTGTATGTGACTGTATCATCTATTCACATTGTGTCAGTGAACTATTATTTTACCGTTGAGTGCTTTCTAATTATGATCGAGGCTGGATGTACTGAGGCAGTGTTTTCTTTTAGATTCATACATCTCTTTATGGAAAACAATAATTAAGTTTGAATGGTACATAATTAACAGCTGATAGCGGTTTGATGTTATATTTCGGAGTGGATAGTGAGACCAGCCTTGATCCTGATGCTGATTCATATACAGCACAATGCGCAGTTCCTGTTCACAGAGCAGTTTGCCTCCACAGGCAGGCGAGGAAGACAGAATCAAAGATGTCTCAGTTCTGTTATCTATGGAGTGCTGTGAAGATGTGAATAGCTGCATTCAGCAACTAGTTCAAAAATAGAGAATGCTCTGTGAGCAGTCCACAGACAGTGGGGAGAAATTTTCAAGTAGCTGTGATGTTTTGAACAGGCTACAGTAAGATTGAATGGGAGGAGAGGACAGAATGCAGCAGCTTCCAGTGCAGCACAATTATGTGATTCCAGAATATCAAGGTAGGCTGTTGAACACAGTCTGGCTTTTTGTCCGGCCTTGCAGATCAAAGTTTCTGCGTCAGTTTTTGGTTTCATAAGAATTCACTTCAGACTTTCCAAAAGTTTGTATGAATTCAGGTTGAAGGAGGAGTGAATATTGGCCTCACAATTGTTGTGAGAATTTCACAGCAGGGGTGTTTCTGCAGCAGGTTTATTCACTGCAAACAGTCGATGTACCCATGCACAGATTATGTCGGTGCACTGTGGCAGTGTCACATTTTATCATTAAACAAACAAAAGCCTATTGGAGCCATAACCCAAATCCAAGTCGGCCATTTTGAATTTAGTGGTCATTTTCAGCAATTTTTTGCATTATATTTGAACAAACTCCTCCTAGGGAAATCGACTTCTTCTTTTAAAAAAAAAAAAATTGTTTAGTGCAAGCTTAAGACCATCACAAATAAAAGTTGTGCCTGTGACTGTTTGTCAGTGGCTTGGCGTCGAATTTCAACATTTAAACTTCAGGAGTCCTGTCCTGAACACATCTACATGCCAATATTCATACTCATAGTGCCACACACTTCACGTTGTGGTCAATACATGATGATGAAGGGAATTATGCAACTGCAGCACATTTTGTAACTAATGTAGTTTAATCTGGATAATTAAAAACGTGCTTTTGTTTTATCTGGATTGGTGAACCACAGAATTCCTTATGAAAAGCAACAAAACGGCTGCACATAGCAGTACAGGCCCATAGTCATGCAAAGTTTATGAGTTCACATTGTAACTTCAACAGCTTTAAAGACTTAAACGTGTCTACAATAACTCCACAGTGTACCACACCACTTTTGACTTGCTCTATCACTGTGAGCTCTTCTCCATCACAGTTTCAGAGAAATCAATTATTCTCCCTTGCTGTGGTGACTCCCTGGTGGGGCTGCACAGATACAAGGGTTACTGTAAGTTCATCCCACCCACTGCCTCAGCTTAGCCCGTTCTCACCTTCTTGCTTCTTACAGGTACTCTATCGACCGCCGCACTGACATGGACCGCCTGTTCAACGTCTATCCGGGGAATGGATCTGTGTTCCTGCTCAGAAGCCTGGACAGAGAGGAGTCTGCCTGGCATAATATTTCAGTCATCGCCACCGAGTTCAGTAAGTCCAGCAGGAGCCCAGGCTATTTGCAGAGATGATGCAATGTATTGATGTAGAGTAGAGATGCATGGAGACAGACAGTCACTTATTATTGAGGGAATTTAATGACAAGTTACAACTAAATATAGTATCCAAGACTGGCTGAGTGGGAAATGGCCACTTCATCCCAATTTATGAAAGAAAGTGTTTCTGTTTTTACGTGACATTTTAGCCATGCAGATAGTGTCAGTCCAGATTTTCAGATATCTGCCTTGAATATTTTTGCTGAAATTTCATGTGTTCTCCTAATCATCTAAAACTAATATTTCAAAAATGTCCCGGTTACTCTTGATTAGGGGCAGGCGATCTGATGATTTTAGATGGAGATCGTCATCTAATGTGTGCACAATCTACTTATCAGACGAAGTTTAGAGATTGCAGTATTTAATTGACTCTTGTTACCGAACCAAGGTTCTAAACTAAAAACTAAAACCAGGCATGACATTTTAAACATTTTAAAATTAAAATAAAAACAAGACTTCAGTACTGTACTTACAAAACAAACAAAAATCAAATGAAATTTTCCGGAAAATGTCTTAGTCAATTTGGTCAAATTTTTATTTGTTTATTAGACAGTGAGTCAGTGTCTTCATATTGTAAGACCTATTTTGACAAATACCCCCATATTATAAAAATGAAACTGATAAAAAATTATTATTGACATTTTTAAACAATAAAAACTAAACTGGAACAAGCAAATTCACTCTAACTAACTGAAACTAAACTGAATTGAAAATTAAAAAATTAAAAATAATATATAAAAAAAATACAAAACTATAATAACTCATACTAACTTCACATAGCCTCACTGACTAGCGTCTCTGCACTACATGAACAAACCAATAGAGTGATGTAACTAGATGGCTCTTTCTTGGGTGATGTATTGTACACAATCCAATTGAGTTGTGAGAACTTGTGTTATTTTATTATTATTTTATCTCAGGTTTTAATCACCATTTTGAAACCTGTGTATCTATAATGCAATATTGTGTTTTTATTGGTGTAAGTGGAAAGAGTATTATATGTCTGGCTGTTGAAAAAATGGATCACGATTTAGATTGTCGATTGTGATTGTGATTAAATAGATTGTCATATTATTTTTTGGCCAAATCGTCCACCCATACTCTGGTTAAAGCTGCAGTAGGGAAGTTTTATAAAAGTAACGTTTTGCCATTATTGCTTTTCACTGTGTCCTGACAGTATTACATGAGACAGATGATCTGTGAAAAAATCAGGTTCCTCAGCCTCCTCCTAGTGCTCTGAATGGTATTTGCGAGAATCCACCTGGCCTGAATGAAAACAAGAAAGATAGAAAGACGCTTTAGTTTTTGGATGGGTTCTTCCTAATGGCATTAGGAGCACTAGGAGGAGCCAGAGGAACCTGAGTTTTTCACAGATCATCTGTCTCATGTACTACTGTCAGGATATAGTGAAGTTTCAGCATAGAAAAACATATTTTTATAAAAGTTACCTA